TCCGCGGGGTGTAAGCCCTCCTCCCGCCCCCCGATTTACCCCCCCCCCCCCCCCCGGATGGCAGCCTGCGGCAAGTGCAGCTGGGCTGATGGCCTAGTGCTGTGATGTGCCGAGTGTGGGCACTCAGGGCACTCCAAGCCAGGACTGCTTTGCAAGCGGGGAACCCCTGAGAACTGTCTGTCCGGGGTGGGGGTCAGGTCCCTTTAAGCACAGCCCTCGGCTAGCCTGAGACAGCATCTCCATGCTCTAAGTCCTAACCTGATGCCCTGCCGACACTGCTTCCAGCCATCCTTAACCTCGGTTCAGGATCCACTCAATGTGGACATGCTAGTTCAAATTAGCAAAATGCTAATTCGAACTAGTTTTTAGGTCTAGATGCACTAATTCAAATTAGCTTAGTTCGAATTAACTAATTCGAATTAAGTTAGTTCGAATTAGTGCTGTAGTGTAGACATTCCCTTCCTTCCTTGCTATCCCTAACTCTCCTCTCACACTCGTGTAAAACAGATGTAGATCCATTGAAATCAGTAGAGTTATGTTGGCGTAAATTCCAAATAAGTGACTGGAGAAGTGAGCGAAAGAGGAAGGGAGTGTAACCAGTACAGCTGTGACGTGGGGCAGAATACGAATTAGAATACGAACAGTATTGGGATGTTCCTGATTAAATCACATTTGTTCTCTGCATATTGTTGTTAGAGAGCTAAGGATAGAGGTTGGGGAGGGGAGCGATCAGCCCCAGCTGTGGGAAGAGTGGGCCCAGCTGCAGGTAGAGTGGGGCTTAGGCGGGGGGAAATCACCATCCAGCCGCAGATGTTGGGGTGTCTGACCCCGTCATGGGTACTACCGAGCTCAGGGGCTGGGAGAGTGGGGCCCAGCCCTAGCAGTGGGTGGCCACAGGAGTCAGAGTGGGAATCAGTCCCCAAGCTTGGGGGGGTCAGCTCCAGCCCCGGGCACGATGGGGCTCAGGAGTCAGCCCCAGCTGTGGGCTTAGGGAGTGAAGGTCAGTCCCTGAGCTAGGGTAGGAGATCAGCCCCGGCAAGCACAGGAGGAGGAGGGGGGACGGAGGTGAGGTCGGCTGCAGGCTGCCAGGGGTGGGATGGGCATGGGGAGAGCCCCAGAGGCACGGGGAGGGCAGCTCAGGTGAGCTGTCCAAGGGAGTTGCAGCTCCCGTTAGCCCCTGGCCACCCTGATTTCACCTTTAAGAAATTCAGGACAGGGTGTGTGTCAAGCTCTCTACTTTGTTGGAGCCAGGATGGGAACCAAGCCCCTTCTCTTCCCATGCTCTGCGGGAGGCTTGAGTTGCTGCCATGCCTGGAGAGCAGTTCTGTGCACTCGCCGAGGCTGCCCGACCAGCCGGAGCATCTGTGCTTAACAGGTTATTCTTCAAAAAGAAGGTGTTTGTTGTGCTGTGCAGGAATCACACGCATCCATGGCGATTAATTGCCAACCCTGCTAGAACTCCCAAAACTCTGTGTCTAGCGCCCATAGCCTCAAAGGTTTTCAGGCCTTTAGCTCCCACTGTACCCTAAATACCTCTGAGGCTCTGGGCCTGGGGCCCTGACTCAGCAGCGCTGCCCCTGGCAAAGGCAACAGAAGCCACCCCTCAGT